GGTGGAAGCACCTTTGGCTATGAGTCTTTTTTGGATAGGTCTCCAGTATCATTTACATGCTTTGTCAGAGACTCCATACGAGACTTAAGATGATTCTTTTTCAGTAATGGCTTCTTTCTCATGGAACTTTGCAAATCTTTCAAAGTCACTGTTGGCTTCACAGTAGCATCTCTAACCAGTTTCCTGCTTGCCCAGCTGCTTAGTTTGGAAGGACAGCCTGATCTAGGTAGTGAGTAGCTGGTAGGAAACATATTCCACTTCTTAATGATGGACTTCACCGTACTCAAAGGGATAATCAACGACTTTGAAATTTTCTTGTAACTTTCTTCTGATCTGTGCTTCTCTACTACTTTATTCCTGACTTGTTTGGAAAGCACCTTGGTCTTCATGGTAGATCTGTTGTATCATTATGTAAGTTGTTGCTTGAACAGATGCATTTACTCTGAAGTCAAGTTAAACCACTTTGATTACACACAGACAGAAATCATTATACTAATTTTATTACCTATCAAGCTAATATTTTGCACCTGAACTGATTTAGGGTTGCCATAGCAAAGGGGTTGAATACTTATGCAATTGAGAATATTCTAATTTTTTTTAAAATCTAACTTACCTAATATCTGAGTTTATTTAGCTTTCTGAGTTTGGATTAGATTCTAAACATAAAGTCCCATATGAAAGTTTCATGATTGCAAGCTCAGGTGGCAACAAAATATGGAAACTTTGCAGAGGGGTGAATACTTTTGCAAGGCATCGTATGCAATGAACAATACTTTTAAAACTAATGAACGAGTTATGGTGGAATCTGATACAGTGATAATGTAAACTGGGCGAAACTATTCGTATTAACATAAATAAATGCGATGGAAAATTGGATGATCGAAATTTGTGTGCACGTTATTTCAAATTATTGAATGGTATTCATTTATCATATACTGGATTTCTGAAACCATAGGCACTTCAACGAATTTTACAGAATGTGTTCCACATGCTATCCTTGTAATTCGAAACTAGCTTGGATTAACTCGACCTTCTCGTGCTTTGACAGCGCCATAATCAGTCACGTGTCTGAAATTAAGAAAAGTTACAAATCACCCATGGTTGCAGATTTTTCGGACACCTTTTAAATAGTTAAAATGATCGTGGACAAAAGCACTCTTTGATGGCCATACTTAAATATTACACCTATATCACAAGTTCGGATGATGCGTACTTTTATTTTTTGAAGATTTTATTTTCATCACAAGAAACACTAATCCAGTCAGCACGTCGACAAAGCCAGTAAACGGCGTTGAGCGATAAACATCTCCGAGAGAAATTCAGGTTTGAGTCTCGCTGTTTATTGAAAAGTTTTTCTGGGGGAATAAATCACTTCTGCGTTGTTTATATCTTAATTGGTCTTGTCTGAGAGAAAAGTTATAGGGTACAGTAGTTAGTGAGAAGTGGAATTTTCAGCCTGGTCAGTAACTTTTATGCGCAAGTGGCATAAGCGGCCAGGTCAGAGACCTTTAAGACTCATTTATATTTGTTCTTAATTTTGAACAAGTGACCAGAGTGAATAAGCTAGCCAGCAGCACCTGCCCCCTCAAGGGTTTTGTCTAACTCTGTGAATCGAAAAACGGAACTGTCACTTTTATAAAGCGTCCATTGTTCGGCATCTTTCGTACTCTGGATCTGCAGTTCAACAGGCCAACCAGTAGGCCACGCCCAGTAATTAGTAAGAGTGATCTTTGATTCCAATATGTTGGCAGTAATTTTAATTTAAAATCTTCCAGGTCTCGAAAGATAATCAGGGGCGCTCAGAAACTACTGTTTCTCTTCGTCCCGCCAGCGGAATTAAGGATTATTCTTTATGTGGAAGAAATTATTTTATTAAATTAGTGGCTGTGGTTGAAAAAGGAAAATTATATATATCAAGAAAAACTTCCCAAGCGTAAAATTTCATATCTTGAAATGTAAAGATTTAAAAGCTTCTTTAAAATATTATTAATGCCAGCAAATCCCACACTAACAAAAATAGTGCATTTTTACGAACGCTTAAATTTTTTTATAAGTTGTTGCCGCCTAAAAAGGAAATATAAGATCAGTAGTCGAGCAAGACTTGAGAATTAAACTCCTTTTCCTGTTTTGTTTTTTCTTTATACGTGTGCGTCTCCCTCTCTCTCTCTCTCTCTCTATGTATATATATATATATACACATACACACACACACACACACACACACAGTAGAAATAAATTAATTATGTGTAG